GAGCAGATGCCTGTGCCAGGGCAAATTGGCAGGGGGAGGCAGAGATGAGAAGTGGACATTTTGCAACTACAATCCAGATTTAAACAAACAAAAAGCATCTTCTAGTGCGCTGTTGTTCAGAGCCTTCTCCCGGGACAGAGTCACTCGTTCCACAGTGCTGTTGCTGGCCCGATGGTTCCGGAGTCTGCATGGAGTCTGGAGGATGCTTTGACATAGAGGCTCTAGAGCCCAGCCGCACCCTGGAATTCCTTATTAGGGAGGAGTTAGAAAAACTCCACACTCCAGGGAGTATGGGACTGGACAGCAAGTACTGAGCTAGACAGAAAGTTTGGAATTAGGGTTCCACCGTGAGGCAAGCCATTGCTAAAGCTGAAATGCCCTGTGGGCAGAGAGAGACTTGGGCCTGCAGACACACTCCCTCGGGGTGGATTGGACCAGGCCGCATGTGTCTCCCAAAGCCTGGAGCTCTTCTAGGGTAAGGGTACCTCATGGTGCCCCTTGGAGGCAGACCCTGGCTGGCCTCCCCCTTTTGTTCCAGATCTTTTGGGCTCTGAGAGGGACACAGGAGTGGTCAGATACACATGCTTTGAGCCACACGGCCTCAGGTCACATGCTGGACCTGACACTGATGAGCGTGGGCACGCTGGGCACTTGGCCTCAACTCCGTGTGGCTCAGATTCCCTGTCCACGCACCAGGGGTAATGATGGCAGTGACTGCTAAGGACTGTTTGTTCTGAAATGGGCGTGAGACCTTCAAACGGTTCCTCAGTGGTGAGGGGTCCTTGTGGGGGGTGCTGCGGGGCCAGGCGGGGGGTCGTGAAGATTCCCCACAGAGTGCCAGGCCCCTCCCTGGGAATTTCACTGCAGAACTTTCCTGTGCTTTTTCTGCTCACTGCTTGCGAGACCTCGAGGGACGTAGCTGCCCTAGCATGACCTAGCTTTAAGCATTTTTATATTCTCCTCTGTGCTGAGCAGTGCGGTCGTGCTTTAATAGTTAATTTTTTGGGGAGAATGACTACCTAAACTATTAAAATAATAATGGGTAGCATAAGCTAGTATCTCTTCTAGGCTAAGTTGATCTCACTAGGTTACTAGATTGGGGGTCAGTTCTTCTAAATTTGCTTTGAGCAGAGGCTGAGCAGTTATAATTTTGCTTTCCTGGGTCCCTTTCAGTGATGCGTGCAATAAAGTGAGAACATACCCAGAAACTAGGGCCTTCAACATTCTCCTTGGTAATACATTCTAAGGACATGGGGGTTTCCCCAGGAAAGATGAATTTCCAGCAAAAGGCCACTAAGTGATAGACGTTACCCAGAGATTAGATACCATCGTTTCACCTTGTTGGTTTCCTTCTCCCCGCAGCCCCGTTCTGGTCTTACCAGTGGGGAATTCTAACTATCAGCACCCTGCCCCACACCTCTGAATTCGTATTGTTTATAGAGAACTTCTTGCAACCTTTCCAGTCACTCCTTCTGACAGGTAGGAATGAGTCAGCGTTTCAGCTGCCAGCAATAGAAACCAACTCTGGCTAATTTAGCACAAACAGAACCTGCTGGAGAGGCGGGTGCAGCACTCACAGACGAACAGGCAGCTGCTGCTGGCGGCTGAGTGTCCCCCGAGCACCGGGCCAAGGAATGCCAGTGGCCTTAAGGACGCTGCCTTCCAGATGTGCCCTCCTTACCTGGTTTGTCCCAGAGGCAAAGCACTGGGGAGAGTATTGGGTTGGCCACGAGCCTGATCCTTGCGGCACCATCGCCAGGGAATTTCAGAGGCAGAGGAAGATTGCAAGGCGGAACATGAAGGGAAATTTTAGTGGAAAGAAGGGCTTGAGGCCAGCTGCTGGCCCCTTCCTGCTGGCAAAGAGCTAACAAGCAAGGTGCAGGTTTTAAACATTTTTAGTTTCAATCTTTATTTTTATGTTTTGAGACAGGATCTTGCTAAATCACTAAATCGAAGTCTTGATCCTCCTGCTGGAATCACAGGGCTGCGCCACCACGCCCAGCTATTGTGCAGGTTTACAGGAAGAAAAATCCTGTGTACCGAACTAAATCTGATAGATAAGTAGAAGTACTACACACGTTGGGAAACATATTGGAAAAATGGCAATTCTCCCCTAAATTAATACATAACCATTGTAATTCTAAATGAGACCATTTGGAGAAGCTTAAAACAATTCTAAAATGTATGTGAAAGAGAAAATACAGACTCCCCATGACAATTGTGAAAAATAAGGACATTAAAACCGTAAAATTAGTAATTAAAGTAATACAGATTAAACAAAGAGATCAATGGAAAAGGAAAGAGATGAGGAACAGAATCATGTGTGAGGGTTTGATATTACCAAAGGGTCATTCAAGTTGGTGGAAAAAAATGATAGTGGGGGTGGGGAGAAATAGAAATAGATTCGTACTTCCTATCAAGATGTCAATTTTAGGTGAGTTAAAATGGAGGAAACAAAATAAAGCCCTGAACTGTTACATGATGAAAGATATTTAAAACTTTGTCATCAAGTGGTTGAATTAAACAGGATACAAAAATACAGAAACCTAAGATTGATAAAATCTGACTTCTAAAATGATAGCGTCTGCGTAAATACCACACACGGTTAAAAGATCTGCAGCCGAACCAAAACGGACAAACACCAAAAAATTTTAGGCTTTCTATGAGAATATTCACGGGAGCTTTCTTCATCATTGGCTCAACCTGGTGAAAGCTCAGGTGCCCATTCAGACAATGGACTGATTACTCATAACTTTAACATGGATCTCAAGAACATTACGCTGAGCAAAAGAAACCAGACACAAGTGACCACATCCTGTATGAGCTTATTCGTAGGAAGTTCAGAAACAGGCAGAGCTAATTTACGAAGGGGAAAAGCTCAGATCAGAGGTCACTCATGGGGGTGGGTGGGGAGGGACCCCTCGGCAAGGAACTGCAGGGAACTCTCAGAAGTCATGGTAATGGTTTTTGACTTGGGCGACAGCTGTTTCTCTGGTTAAAACTTAGCAAATGGTACACTTAATTCAGCACTGTGTTTTATTGTGTGCAAATCTTATCTCTAATGAAAAACTGTAAGAAGCGGACTCCGAATGACATATATGCTGAGTATTTAGGAACAACATTACTAATACTATACTTCACTTGAAAATGTCCTCCCTGCAAAAAGATGGATTAATGGATGGACAGACAGATAGCATAGCAAAAGTTAGAAGCCAGGTAGTGAGTTCCAGGAGTTCTCTGTAAAATTCTAATGATTTTTCTGTATGTTTTAAAATTTTTGTAGCCGGGCGTGGTGGCTCACCCCTGTAACCCTAGCACTTGGGAGGCAGAGGCAGGAGAATCACAAGTTTGAGGCCAAAGTAAGACCCTAATCTCAAAAAAATTTTTTTTCTTTGAATAAAATGTTAGGGGATAAAAGATAAACAATGACTAAACACAATATGTGAACAATAGCAAAAAAATGCAATTAAAAATAAGCATAATCCTTAAGAAAGAAATGGCAAATGCCAATGCCTACTAGTAAACAGGAGGCAGTCAAACAAGTACCACCACTCCCTCCTTACCCACCAGGCTGAGAGCAATGCATCAGCACGGGCCAGCCGGCATGTTTGCCGGCTAGTGGTGGTGTGTGAAGAGTGCAGTCGCTGGTAGCAACCGGGTCAGTCTGTGAAGCCCCTCCCCCACCTCCCAGTACACCACCAGAGAGCAGGGAGCAGGGTGCTGGCCAGCAGATGTTAACACCCACGCCCCGCACCCAATGCAGAGGTTAATAAGGCAGTGGAGTCCCTCTAGGAAGGAAGATCCATGACCTACTGAAGTCCGAACTACAGATAAAGTTATAGCATTTAGTCAGGGGAGGCTGAGGCAGGAGGATTGCTGTGCATTCCAGGCCAGCTTGGGTTACACAGTGGGTTCAAGGCCAGCCTGAAGTACATAGTGAGGCCCTGTCTCAAAAAAACCCCAAACCAAAGAAGAACCCCACAGCATTTGTAGAAAATACAAAACCTGTCTTAAAAGTATAAACATGTGTGCGTCTCTCTCTCTCTCACACACACACACACACACACACACACATACACAGTGTAGACAAAAGACAAAAGGGTTTGGAAAATGCAAACACGTGAGGAGGTAGGCAACTGGGGGTGGCAGCCAGAACTTGATTTAGAATAAATGTAATTTAAAATGTAATTGGGGCTGGGGATTTAGCTCAACGGCAAAAGCGCCTGTCTGGCAAGCGCAAGGTCGTGAGTTCGGTTCCCGGTACTGGAGAAAAGCCAAAAAAAAAAAAAAAAAATGTAATTAATAAAATATACAAAACTGTATTTACGTATTGCTCACTGAATTAAAATTAAAAGCAGGGGAAAAAAAAAAACTAGGAACAAATTCCTAGGTTAAAATCAAGTTCAATACTTTGCTAGTACTTATTCCGAGAAGGCAAACTATGTCCCTACTTAGTAGGACTTGATGACTTGTGTTCCAATGAGGCTTTCATTTCTCAGCCCCAGTTCAGCTTGTCCCCCCAGGCCCACAGGCTCAGATCTCAGGGCTTCTTCCTTTGGGACAAGCTATGGTCCGATCCCTTGGGCACCAAGCACTTGTCAGTGATCCCTTCCTTGGTCCCCAAACTGGTGCTGCTGATCAGCTTTCTGCTCCCATCTGATTTTCCAGTTGTGGTTTTCTTCTGCCTGAGGCGATCGGCTCACACAGCAGGCCCCCCCCACCCCCAGCCCAGGGCTGGCTCCCTACACAGCTCCTCCCAGCCCCGTACCCAGGGCTGAGTCATATCTGACTCTGTGGGCAGACAATTTTGCCATCGGTCCCACCAGCCACTTCAAAATGTAAAGCGTGGCTTGCTCTTAAGTATACTACACGGCATGCCATCTCCAAAAGACCTGTTATGACCGATAAAGGGCAGACGTGTGGGTGCGCACACCCGCATACATCCTCACCCGTCCTCCGCCGCCGCTGATCCGCGACAACAAACCAAACGGCTCACCGAAACTAGTTGAAAGTTTTATTTATATAAAATTCATTAAGAACATAAAAGATTGAGTTTCTTAAAAAAATCTGCAGTTATTTACAGCAGTATTGCACAAGTAAAGTGGCAATTACCCTGTCAAAATTTGTCAGTGCAAAACACAAGCCAGCCAGGGAAATTGCGATACAAACGCTACATATGCTGGGTCCTAGGAAACCTGCTGATGGATCAGTATACAGGTGGATCAGTGCTATTTATAAATGGGTAGGTACCTGATGAGTCCGGATACAGTAACTAGTGGTCACAGAACCTGGACGTAAAACCTAACAGCTCCTAAAGACTGGGATCCCCAAAGGAAAGTAGTCAAGTTACCTAGGTGGGGACTTGAGGATGTTTCTTTCATACAAAGCTGCTTGGGGCGACCCCAGCTGATTTAGCGTCACGTGTGGTCACAACCTCATTCGCACAGGCATGTGTGCGGAGTGGACACACACAGGCACCAGGCTCAACCAGCAGGGGTCGGTGGCAGAAGTGTGTCTCCAGGCCCACCGGAAGTCCCCAGCGCCTCCCTGAACTTTCACATCTGGACACCCAGCAGGGCCCCGACCTCTCTCTCATCGCAAGGGATGGGGAATCAGGAAGTGGGCACGGACCTGAAGCAGCAGCCTGACCAAACGCGGTGATGGGGGATGGCGGCTTTTCGCTTGCTTCTGAAGATAAAGTTTGGTCCACCCACACCTCAAAGCACAGGAGCCATGGAGCAGGTGGGGAGAATTCACTCATCAGTTGGCAGCAAGGGACCCGAGGTGACCCCAGGGTCACTCTCAGAGCAACGGTCCCTTGTGACACCTGTGCCTTCCCCTGGACAGCCACATGGCAGCACCCCCAGAGGCGGCACGTTTTTCTTTCAACACTGAGTTGTCGGGTAAATTTTCAATGAAAAATCTTTTCCATCTGCTAATACTTTTTTTTTTTTCCTTAAAGATATGGCCTGGAGTTAGCAAATATGCTTCGATGAGAAGCTGGACACTTTGAAACAAACAGAAGCTTGATGGTTATTTCCAGGAGTAAAAGAAAAAAATTGTTTTGAGACAGAAACGATGTAGTCCAGGCTGGCCTCAAACTCATGGTGATCCTCCTGCCTCAGCCTCCCAAATGCTGGGATCAAAGGCATGCACCACCACGCCTGGCTCTTGGGAGTAAAATTCTATAACCTGTCAGATTTGTTTACCAAAGCCCAAGAGCTGAATACCAGGAGCAAAGCTGGAAGCCACAGCGGTAAGGGGACATGGTCCGCACACACTAAGCTGCCACCTCCCGCCTCAGGAGCTGAGGCAACTCTCAGGGTGGTGGGGGTGGGATGGGGGTGTCAATGTCAACACTTTCAAGAATTTAAGACATTAAATAAGCAGAAAATAAATATACAATATTTCTACAAGTTACAGCATTATGAAACAGTAGGACACATTACACAGAAAAAGAATCTACAATATTTACAATCCTTGATTCTGAAAAAGGCTTAGAAAAACAGTGATTTTTTTACTCATTTACGCTATACAAAACTTTACAAGAAAGGTAAAGGAAACACAATTGCACACAAAAATTTGGCTCAGTTGGTAAGTAAAATATAACCTAATCTAATAAATAGTCAAAAATATGTACACTATTAAGGGGAAACAGAAGAAAATTGTATTCTACCACATACTCTCTTTTAAATCAAAAGGAACTTTAAATTGGCTTTGCAACCCCCTCCCCAATTCTTCATTAACTTGTTTCTTAGAAGGAAAGCCAAAGAATTAGCCACAAAGCCATTTTGTGTTTATTGCATTTCGGTGTGAAGTCACAGGACACTTTTTACAAACCTCACATGGAGAGGTTAACAAGGCACAAAACCCGCATCACTTTTTTTTTTTTTTTTTTTTAAAGGATCTACAAAAAATTTAAAAAATAATAATAAAAATAAAAGTAAAAGGTATACCCGCAGCAAGGGGGCACACTTCTGTAGGGACGCATTCGGATAAACAGATACAGTACAGAGACAACCAGTCATCTCTTAAGTTCTGGCGCCAGCATCTTGTCCTTTAATACTTCTGCAATTCATAGAGTCGCCTACATCCTCAAGAGCCACTTCCCCCGCCAGCCTCGGGGCTCTGAGGCCACGGGCAGAGGTAGGTGTGCTCATGGGCAGATGAGGCAGGATGGTCTCCTGTCCGGCCCTGGCTGCACCTCGCTCTCTGGGAGCCCCAGGACTGAAGAAATGTAAAGTGCTCCAGTCCGAGGGACCGGCACCGAGCAGAGATCTGGGAAGGGGTGGCCCAGAAATGTCTTTGGTGTGTGTGTGTTTGTGTCTGTGTGTGTGTGTGTGTGTGTGCGTGTCTGCCTGTCTGTCTACAGGGCCGTGACTGCAACCCGGACACCACCATACAACTGTGGGCTGTGTGGGACCCTGCAGGCCGGCTCCAGACACGTCAAGAAACAAGCTGAGCTCCAACACAGCTTTCAAAATATTTAAAACTCAAAGCGTATTTTAGGGAAAAAAATGTTTAAAAAGGAAAAATATTTGGAATCAAATCACCTCTACCTAAAGGAAAAAGTGTATAGACAATATACATATATACACATATATCTATATACACACGTATATAAACTTACAAACATACAAATGAATGGATTTTCCCGCTTTAATTTAATGGGAATACACTGGTCCCCGGTCAGGCAAAAAATAAATACCACAGCTGGGCACCGCTGGCATGTTGGAAAACTCCTATATTCCTTTTAAAAAGTTGTTTAACGATTCGTTTTCCAAAATCACAGAGTTACAGGGTTCAGACGCCTCCCTCCCCCTTGCTCTGCTCCCTCATCTGTGTCCCTCTTGGGTCACCCAGTGTCTGCTTGATTGTCCTTTTCTTTCACTCACTGGCTTTTGAAATGACTGACAGGGTGTGGGCTGGCCCTGCATAATGTCAGCGGAAGGTAGGCAGAGGCACTGGTAGCCTGATGAGATCCAACTGTCCTAAAAGGATGAGACAAGCAAAACGAGATGCCTCTTTGAGGCTGAAGAGACATCTCAGACTCCGCCCGGGATTCTACTGGTGAAAGCAGAATTAGGTCTGTTTCCAAGTGGGCTCAGAGAGGTGGGACCAAGTAGAGGCATTACAGCCAGTGCCTTGGGCTGGATGAAAGCCGGGGTGCCCGGGAAATGGCCAGCAGACACCTGCCCCGTGGGGTGGGAATAGGGTCCCCAAGACTGGATGTGCAGTGAGCCCTGTGACTTCCGGGTGTGCAAAGGGGGCCAGGCTTGGTCTCCTGCTGTCACTGTTCTCACCCCTCCCAACATCTAAATGCCAGGTGCAGCCAACACTGAACTCGTCCCCGTCAGTCTGCTGGTGACAGAGGGATGAGCTGGGAAGGATGCAGATGCGTGCTCACTCTGGTTCTGACGCGGGGACTCTTCACGCAAGCACCCTGGAGCAGACCTTTGAGCAGCACCCAGACGGGCTGGGTGGGCATCACAAACAGGGATCAGGAAAGACGTGCAAAACCACTGGAAATTTTGCCACCGATAAAACTGAATGCAAGGAGGTAAATAAATATTTACAAGATGGGAGTGGTACACCCTCAGCCCCTTTAATCAGCTCCATTTCATAAGAACTCTTTTGGTATTAATAATTAGAAAAAAAAAGTTCAAAGAACTTTGGAGGAAGGGAGTGACGTATCCTACCTCTCTCCCAGGTTAAAAACTCTGTAATCTAAAAATACACTAAGTCAGCGTTATAAATTAGCTGGCTCAGTTTCCACTGCTAGGATTACACAATCCTCTGAGGTTCTTAAAATTTGAGTACAAAAATCATTCACAAGTTGGTTAAAAAGTTTCCACTTCCTTTCTGAAAAACTTGTTATTAAAGAAGGTGGAAAAAAAAAACCCCACATCCACACACGGCATGTAAACACCATTCTAGCATACAATCCTGATCCAAAGAACCATGATTTCGTACATTAAGGGAAAAAAGTAAGAAAAATCCTCCCTCATTTACATTCACAACAAACTTCCATGGGAAATTCTGCCGTGTGGTGATGAACACAAAGTCAAGTTAACATGTCCGGCGCAGCAGGGTCGCCGCGGTGCCTGCTTTCTGCACACCTCTAGGGAAAGAGCCTCTGGCCGCGCGGAGGAGCAGCAGCAAGAGCCCTCTGGCTGGGCCTGTCGGGTGACACAGGCGAAATGTCTGCAGGTATCTTGGCTCTGCGAGGACCCTGTCAGTGCATCCTCCACACCAGGCGGACAATGTAACGTAACAGTCGCAAGATAACCATTTGGGGCTGGTCTTCAGCTGCTTGGTAATGATTCAAGAATACCTGAAACAATAAAAGCAAAGCTTGTTAGTTCTCCCCTCACTTGGGGGCCGAACACTGCCGCGAACAACAGTGGCGTTCTGATAGCTCCGGGAAGACTTCCTGTGTCCCTGGAGCACCTATCTCTCCCTGAGGCTGTCCAGGGAACACATTTCCATTTCCCTGCAGAGGGAAGGTGTGAAGGGCAGCCTCACCCTTGCAGGTTTTCTCCCGCAAAAAACCAACAACCAAAAGAACACTCAAAACACTCAAGACGATCCTTGGGCCTCAGTGCTCCAGTGTGGACACAGGTGTGGGGCAAAAACAGTTTTCAGTCCCAGAGCTGGAGTCCCAAGGAAAGAGGCAGGGCCAGGAGGGGAAGAAAGGAGTTGGTAGGCCTAAAGGCTCTCACTACCCACATTCATTGACATTCAAATAAGTTTCAGACTCCCTCAGGGGTAAACTTCTGGTAGCTGTAATTTATTTAAGAAACCAGTGATTTGGGGGTAATTTGCCCTAAGAAGCTAAATAAAGTGGTGCTGCAATGCGCCACTGGCTGCTCCAGGCCACTCTGCTGTGACCTGGCAGGGTGCTGGCAGGCACAGACGCAGGCTGAGTCACCCCCTCCCCACGTCTGAGGAGGGAAGAGCAACCACGGGCGAAAAGGCGCCTCTCGCTGGTGACCAGCTTAGGTGCATTACAGGCTGAGAAGCTGCTTGAAAGGAAATCGCCGGGCTGGCCACCTGAAGGCATCAGAGCCTCAGATCCTCGGGTCGTCCAGAGAGATCATCTGTGGGTTCCGGTTTACTTTGCAGCGTAAGGACCAAGCATAAATTCAGCGAAGCAAAGGGAACGCACGTAACACACCGGCCTTGATGCCTTCTCTCCACACGTCGAGCTGTCCAACCTGGCTCCCCTGCAGGTCTGAAGTCAGCCCTGGCCAAGCCCATCACGGCAACTCAGCCAGTCAGCCGGCTGCGGGACGGCTCACAGCCCTCCGCAACCCCCCTCTGTCCTGGTGGGAAATGTGTCCAAGGCGCAGTCTTGGGAACCACCGGCCATGAGTCAAGCTGGGACGCCGCCTGTCCCCTCTCTGCCCCCAAACGCCCCCTCCAGACACTCCAGCCGCGGCGGAGCTCCCCCTCACCGCTGTTTACACAAGCTCTCGAGCGCCTGCTCAACACAACGGGGCTGTGATAAGGCCAGGGCATTTCCCCTTTTCCTTCCATAACAAGGCGGGAGGAAATCGGCTTTATGTCAGCGATTCCTGTGGAGGCCTCCGTAACCACAGTCTGCGATTTTTATCGGCTTTACACATAAGATTGCTTTGTTTTGATTTAACTTTCAAAATTACTTTGCTCCTTCTTGTGTGAGAAAAATTAAGGGGAAGGTTAATTTTGGTGTAGAGTAATATTAATAGGTTGAAAGAGGCTTATTCAAAACAAACCACAGCTTACTAAAATGAAGAACGCGCATGCTGGACGGACTGAGCCACCCATCCACGGTGGGAAGTCTCAGGCCAGGCCGGCGTCCTCGCCGTTCCCTGTGTCCCCCGGGAATGAGGCTGCCTGCACGCCCACGGGCAGGGCAACAGCAGCAGGGGGGCTGGGCCGCCTGGGGGACAGGTTCCAACTGCTCACGCTTGGCAGTGTCTAGGGAGAAATCTGCCGCCTCCTGAGGGGCGCAGGGGTGGGAGACGCGGGGACTCGCAAGCAAGGAAGAGAAGACGGTGCTGCAGCTCCTCTAGGTAGGCGGCGTCAGGACAACGGGGCAGGGCGTGCACTCTGTGCAGGCCAGCGATGGCTGTGGACAACACTGGACGGAGGAGGCCATCAGCACGGACTTTAGGGCCGTGCCAGCCCAGAACGCCCGCGATGGCTGGCACAGTGGCTCAAGCTGCTGCTGGCCCAGAGCTCGTGGTCCACGCTGCACCGAACGGCTGGAGGACAGGGGCTCCTGCTCTTCAGCCTGGCTGTCCTGACACCTTGGGCGGCACAATCCGTGTGGCTGATACACGAGCCTGGGCCTGGTGGCGCCAGCGGGGCCAGATGGTCCCGGAGCTGCAGCCAGGTAAGGAAGAGGAACCGCGGAGCTCTGCAGGTGGCCAATAGCAGCAGCTGGCTCAGCCACTGTGACATCCTCACCAGGGACCTTGGTGTTGGGTGACCTGAGGGGTGAGGGGCGAGCTCGAAGTAGCACAGACCCTGTGGTTCTGGGCAGGACGATACATCCAAGACAGAATATGGAACTGGGCCTGAAAATAACAAGCACTGTGCAGTGGGGACCACGCGTTAGCTGCCGGTGTGTGGGCAGGACGGACCAGACGCTGAGCTGGCGTGCGGGTGGCCCCTGCTGGTGCTGCCGCACAAGGACAGGAGGAACGCACCCAGGGGCAGCAGCGCCAGAACCATCTTCCCGGCCCGAGCTCTCCGCAGGGCCACTCTGTGTTCAGTGGCTCCTACTCAGCTCCAAGGGGCCTCTGCGGACCCAGAGCACATTTACGCTCCACCACGCCTACGCTGCATAGTATGAAAAAGACACTGTCTTTCCTAACTAAGGGTTCTGAAAACACCGAAGAATTAAGGAGTTCCACCTCCCTCCAGACACTTCTGCTCCCTGGGCCTGACAGCTGTGGCCCCAAATTCACACACTCTAAACGGGACCGGACGGGAGGTGGGGTCTCAGGAAAGTGACCAGGATGAGCCCTTGCCCCGGGGCCTACAGGAGGATCGAGGGCACAGACACACAAGGACAGCCTCGTGAGGACACGGGAAGGCCATCTAGAGGTCAAGGAAAGGGGCCTCGGGCTTCCAGATCTGTGAGGCAAGAGTTCTGTTGCTTAAACCACCCTCTCTCCGGCGCCTTGCGACGGCAGTGCTAGTGACCTTTCATTTATCCATCCGTCACCATTTCTGTGAAAATGACACTTCCTAGAGCAGACAGACCTGGGTACCTCTGTCTCAGTCCACATTGTCAAAAAACTTAGCAGTCTGTTACAGTGATGCATTTGGGTGCAGGGGGCTACCTTAAAAAGACCCAAATCTGCCACTAAGTACAAACAACTGAAGTGTCCACATAGGGCAGCTCCCACCCTCCTTGCACATGCATGGGCACGCGCACACACACGCCCCACTGTCCCGGAGCAGTGCCCACTTCTGCTAAGAAATTTTATCTCTATGGTCTAAATCAGTAGCTATATAAGGGCCGGGTCATTTGGAGCAACTGACTTTCATGGAGGTTCCACATGTTCACAGATTTGTGTTTCTCTCCAGGAGCCCTGAGGCCCCTCACCGGGCCTCCCCGTGATCCCTGTGTCGCCAGCCGAAGATAATAAACCCAATTATATGACAGGGACAATACCGAGGTAAATAAGGTGGCAGGGAGCAGAGTTTGTCCGCAGAGGTGGGCGGAGGAGCCGGGCAGTGGGCGGAGGAGCCAGGCAGGAAGGCACCAGGGCTAATCCCTCCTCGGACCCTGATGGAGGAGTGCGGCCTGTAGGCTGGACTGCACTCGGGAAGGGCTAACAGCTGGGGACGTACAGTAAGTGGTGAAAAGGGATTTGATTTCTCGTAATAAACCGAGATGAATGACGACTCTGAGCTGCAGGACCGTTCCCCCATGGACTCACCCCCCACGGTGGAAAGACACAGGACTTGGCGCCTCTAGGTTCTGCCAGGGCAGGCCCAGGCACTCTGCTCTTAAGATGCGAAATGCTGACATTTCTACAGCAGTGTGGCAGGGTTCTCGCAGGGATCCCCGGACGGTACCCTGCAAGTCCACAACACTGGGGACACAGATCTGGGTGGCCAATGGAGGAGGGGCTGGGGCAAGGGACTGCCCTTGAATGGGGCTCAAGGCCACTTCCCAGGGGAGTAGCTGGCACAGGGAGGACCATTGAATGGAGACAGCAGCATGGATGCTCCAAGACATGCCCCGTGGGGCGGGGTGTGACTGCAGAGAACCACAAGCCGCCACTGCAGCCCAAGCTCCAGAACCATCTCCAAGTTACACGTGGGACAACCAATCTAGTGCAAGGGAATTTAATTACATCTTCATACCAAAATATTTACAGCGAAACAATGCTCTCTTGCTCCATCCGGGGAAGCAGGTGCTGAGGAAACAAAAGGGAACTTGACTCAAGGTTGCCCGAGGCACCTGGCCAGGTGGACACCAGCCACCCACAGGCTGCAGCTCTGGGTTCACTTCCTTCTCCGGTAGAGGGAGATGAGCTTGGCCTCTGAAGAGCTGAAGTACGCACAGCAGCCTTTCAGACCCTGGGTGCCCAAGCATGGGGACTAGAGAATCACCCACTGCCACTGCTAAACGCAAAGACTGGGCAGATGTTTCTAATTCTCCAAAACAATCCCATAAGCCAGTGTAGCTCCCCCCACTCTGTGACTGGCTGGAGGTGGCAGGGCCAGGATATGCACCCCAAAGTCTATACTCATCCTGCCAAAAGGACAACATGGGTATCAGCATGCTTCAGACAGAGGCCAAGCCACCTTCCCTCCCTCGGCATGAGCCTGGAGCCCAGGCAGCCCCTCATCCCTCCAAGAGGAAGGAAGCTCTGCTTCAGACTGAAAGGATGCCTCAGATCGCACTTATGAAGGGAGAAGAGGGTCCAGCAAGTGATTTCAAAGCTCAGCTCAGACTCTAGCCAGTGCAGGTGATAAGCCCATGAAACCAGGCCTCAATAGCAGGGCCAAAACTCAATAAATACTTGACAGTGTGGGGCAGTTTGCAGTGAAAAACAGATGTGCCCAGCATGATAAAAATAAAGGTTACGAGAAATCAGAAATCTAAGAAAGACTCATCTTGAGCACCAGGGGTGAGATTTACAGCAACAGAAGTGCAGGGCAGGTATGAATCTCCTGGCCGTCAAAGTAACATGGTAAACATGACAGTATCTCCATTATTCTATTAAAGCCGGCTCAACTCCAAATTCTCAGAGACAAATACAAAAGTCTGGTGCGGGGTTACTTAACACAACTCAGATGCACAGGGATGTAACTTGGTCAAGAACT